ATGAAACCAAATTGGAGCCCAGCCTATGACACCTTCCTGCCTTTCCTTTCTGATTTCCATCCAACCTGCATGTTCACTCTTGAGAGATGAAAAGTAAAAGATGAACCTGTGTTATACCATGATGTTCCAAGGTAACAAATTACAGCCATGTGGCCAATGAACATGGAATTAGGTAACATTTTCTACATATTCTCATGTTGTTTGACCCTCGTCTCCCATCACCAATATGACGTTAATCTTCATTCTCACATAAGTTCCTTGTGTGTAGTCCAAAAGCATTATATTTTAGATGGACACCTAAAAATACCAATACTTGTCAGAAAGCCAATAAAACTACTGATCACACAACTTCAAGACTCTCATGCCTTGATTTGTTCCAATAAGTCTAGATAGTCTAATGACTTGGTAATCATGTAAACACATTGGTTAGAACACATAGATACTTGAGCTCACAAGAGGCACCATCTGGATTTTCAAAAGAATGACTTTTGAAAAGACCTATTTTTAATCATGTGTGTACACACATGTGGTTGAGGATGCCCACGGATGCAGAAAGCACCAGATCTCCCCACCCAAAGCTGGAGTTACAGGCATTGGTGAGCAGCCAGACATGGTTGCTGGGAACCAACTCAAGTCCTTTGAAAGCAGTACACACTCTCCCACTGAGCCTTCTCTCCAAGCCTCAGAGAGTTGACTCGTTCTGTCAAATGATTAAAAGGCAAAATACTCCAATCCACTAGTGAAACACAATGGGTTTGTACTTTAAATTTTTACTGTTGACAGTAGGAGCTAAGAAGGAAACGAATGCAACCCTTAAAAGCAGCGAGAAAAAAGGTGGGACCCAAGGAAGAGAACAAGAGTGCTTGGTGCCATCTGCACAGGGCACCTGCACCAAATGCCACTGCTTACCCCCCAGGAGGTAGTTCTATAACTTAGAGTTTCAATTTTTTATACAGGTCTTTTTCTGAGGTAAGGAACAAGGGGAACCCCTTTTGTCTCATCTTTCTATAGCTCCACGAGTGTTAAATAATTAAGAATCTTTCCACCTGGGGTATCGTTAGGAAAAGTAGTCTGCTTTGAGTACTTCTCTGGAAATAAAAGTTTACCCTTAAGAAAAGTGACTAAGCAAACGATTCCAACACTCGAGTAAGAATAAAGCCATGGACATGGGATTACCTATTATTAATGATGTGGATTAAGATTTATTTTATGATGAGGGTTTTGCCTGAATGTGTGTATGTGCACCATATGCATGCCTGGTACCCACAGAGGTCAAAAGTGGGCATCAGATCCCCTGGAACTGAAGCTAGGGATGACTGTAAGCCATTATGTGGGTGCTGGGAACCAAGCTCAGATCTTCTGTGAGAGCAGCCAGTGTTCTTGACGGAGCCATAGCCCCAGCCCTGTTAAACTTGTTTTAAGCACCCATGAGAACAGCAAAACATTAGATGCAGAAGGTGACTTCTCATTCTCCAGAAATAGTTTCCTGAGTGGCTTGTAGTGACAGCCTACATCTGAAGTCCATTTGACAGAGGAAGAAAACATAGCCTAGGAAAGAAAATCGTATCCCCAAGAATGTCTTCTGTTGCTTTGGTTGTCCCGGAAGTTGGGTGTTTTCCCAACAGCCCGTTTGGCCCAGTCAGGTTCAAGTACACAAACCCAACTAAAGGTTCAGCAACAAAGAAACTTGGAGTTTCCTGCCCAATTCCTGCTCCCAGCCTGTAGGCTCATCTTTTGATACTGAGGTCTAGTCATGGACTCAATTCACAATTTCCAGTCCACACATGGACCTCTTGAAGTCACTGGCTGTGAAAAGCCTTGGCTACGACAACTGTGGACCCACACTTATAGATGTGGGTAGAAATCAGACTGCGTCCAGCTTAGATTTTTGAGGGCAGGGTCCCCACAAATCAAGCCAGAAACTCCAAGCCCCAGAACACATTCCTGAAAACCAGTACTCGTGGGACCCCAGTGTTGGAAGCCTCATCCTTATTTTAGGAATCACATGTTATAACTAGTAAGCTCCCACACAAGGAATTCATGGTGATGTCTAACTAGCTGGTGCCCCGTTCTTGTCACTGATATTTTTCAATGTGCTGCTTCCCCAACAGCAGTTTCGGGCTTCTATTCCACAGGCTGAAGTATATTATCAGCAGGACATAGGTGTTGCCAGCCTCAGCTGTGCTCCTGCCTTTCCAGAGTCTAAGAAGCAGAATTATCTTCACATTTCCAGAACTCAGTTCAGAACGAGGCCCTGCTCAGGAACTCACCACTGGCTCACATGTGATAACAAAGACTTGAAGGTCACTGATGTGACAATATTCAGATATGGTTCTCTAGGAAGACGACTCCTACTTTATCAGTTGTTCTTGCAAACACTTCTAGAGGCAGAGTGCTAAAGTGAGTGAAATTTCCTGAGACTGACAGTATTACTTAAAGTGTTTGAATTGATTACATTTAAAAAAAAAATACAGATTTTAAATAAAAACTATAAGCTTATTTTTTCTTTTTCTTTTCTTTTTTTTTTTTTTTAAGCAACAAAATCAAGTGAATGCCACAAACATACAGTAACTATTTTGGTTACAGAAATAGGAGCCAAAAATAAATTAATGTAATACTAGAAAACAGAAATTTAATTAGGCAGAAAAATAGGCAATAATTTTCTCTGGCTCATGCCATTTGCATGAGCTAATCACCATGGTGCTGGCAAATGCCTTGACCAGATACAGCAAACCAGGGGGAAAACATTTAGTGCCACGGTATTTTTAATACACATGAATATACAAAGTTGATCAAAATGAAATGTTTAAAAGATAAAATCCATCCATAATAAAGCTACACTCCAGTATCTAAAATAAGCCTTAAGCGCCAGTTAGAACAGACTTTCAAGTTAGGCATGCCCATGAGATTAAGGGTACTCATGAAAACAATGCACAGGGACCATTCCTGTCATTTTCCATTTTATGTTAAGCCCACAATATAATCGGGACATAAAACCACATGGGAATGGCTTCCTATTCAGACTGACACCCTGATTGTATTAATCCTGGCCCTCTTCAAGCCAGTCTACCTGATGATGCCTTGGAATGGGAAAGAATGCATCAATGTAACAAGACTGCACGTCACCATTTTACTAACATCTGCTTTGAAACAAAATATTTAGCATACTGCACCATAATCTAGATGTTAAAGTAGCAAATAACTGATAAAAGAAACATTTCATTTTTTTAAAAAAAAGTTTAAAGTCTCTTGAAAGACACTTTAATTTCTTTTTAAATACTCAGCTTTTACAGAAATGAAGAAAAATTCAGCAGGCTTACTCACTCCTGCTGGAGAAAGGACATACAAACTCCCATCGGGGACTGTTGCTGGGTCTTTGTGCTATCTCTGTGACCTGGGATTGGTCTCACGTGTCCCACAGCTGCTGTCATCCCCTGCCTTAATGCTAGGAACCAGGGACAGTAAGTTAGAACACGACTTCTCTATGAAAAAAAGTGATGGGGGTGGGACAGAGCTGCCTCGTGTTTTCTTTACTGAAGAAGAGGTAAGTCTTTACCAGATAGTTCTACATTTGAAGGACTGACGGAGTGTTGATGGAGACGCGTGCTCGGTCTTCTCGGTCTTCTTTTCCAGCACCACACAAACAACTGAATGTCAGTACCACAGTCTTGACAATCGCTCTCATCTTCTTCTGTTCCAAAACGTCTTCGTGAATACTGAATTTTAAACTTACTTTTTCCATCAAAAGCAACGAGTTTGGTTAGTTACATTGCTGGGTAAAACTTTGAATGCTCACAGAAACAAGAGAAAGGGAAAACAAAAACAAAAAGAAAGACAAGAAAAACATGCTAAACCTTACAATAGCGTTTGGGTTTCCAACTGAAACATTTTTGTCTAATAAATTAGCTGCAAGAGTTGTTTCAAAGATAGTTTTAATCGTTCCTGTTCTATGATCAGTTCCAAATATATTAGAAACCAGTAGCCATTGTCTTAACCTTTGTAACCCACAGTCAAATATATGGCTGCATGTGTACAAATATCTCAGGCCGTCCATCTCTTGTACTTGGAAAAGTGCCTCTCCTTAAAGAGTGAAGGTTCACCTCCAATGTAAGTAATTAATAAATATGCTTCATGGAGGGGGAAAAAGACAAAATATTTATAAATATGCATTGCCTCTAACCAAGGCAAGGTCCGTTTTTGTCACTTGTATAAGAGAGTAACACGACATAACCCTGTTTCGTCTGCTCCAGTGAAGAATGAAACACGTCCCTTCAAGCATGAACAAATGAAGCGTCAGCATGCTTAAGTTCTGAGTCACAAACAATTCAAGATATTTCAGAAATAAGAAGTCCAGTTTTCACCTAGATAAAGTGCTATCCTCTTCATTGTTGCAAAATGGCCGCTGACATTTTCAACTGCAGTTTGAGTTCACATTACACCACGGGTTTGCATGTTCATTCGCCGACGTATTACGTCACAACATAACACGTTCACAGTATATTATAGTGTGTGGAAGTCAACTGACGTCCCAAACGAAGCCAAGGACTATGACTCATAGTATTTGTAGGAAAACCAAGATCCATTCAACAGTAAAACACCAAATCAACCCTTTTAATAAAAGGTACCAATATGCAAATGCTCTAATAAATACACACATAACAAAAGGGGGAAACGATGAGATGAGGTTCTTCTAGGAAACTGTCTTGTCAAGCATTCTAGGAATCTGAGCCAGAGAAACAGCCGCCATCTTACCCCACCACCCACCTTCTAACACTTCCTGTGACCCACCTCACACTGCACTAACTCCAGCACTACTCACAGTGCCTCCATAAACAGACTGAATGTTAAAAGAAGGAGAAGGAGAAAGAGGAGGAGGAGGAAGAAGAGGAGGAAGAGAAGGAGGAGGAGGAGGAAGAGGAAGAGGAGGAGGAGGAGGAAGAAGGAGAAGGAGAAGGAGAAGGAGAAGGAGAAGGAGAAGGAGAAG